CTTCAGCGCTTCTCCAACTATCCTCCTTAGCTTGTTGAAGTTCGCCCTCCTAAAATCTAGGGCCACCACCTGACTGCTTGCCTTTGCCACCTTGCGCTGAATGGTGAATTCTAGCAGGCAGTGGTCACTGTCGCCCAGGGGGTCAAGCACCCGCAGCCCCCTCACCAGGTCGTCGCCCGTGGCCAACACCAAGTCCAACAAGGCATCCCCCCTGGTGGGGCTGTGCACCTCCTGGGTTAGATGAAGGTCCTGGACTCTCTCCAAGAACCTACGTGAGCGCTCGGACCTAGCCGACTGCTCCTCCCAGCAGATGTCTGGGAAGTTCAGGTCCCCCATGACTACCACATCCTTAGCTTTTGCTACCTCGGTGAGCCGACCCAAGAATTCCTGGTCAAGGTCCTCTGTTTGGGTATTTAAAGACTTATCAAATCCTCCCCTCAGTCTTCTCTTCTCCAAACTACATAACCCTTGTTCTTTCAGCCTTGCCTAGTACATCTTGCTTTCCACGCTTCCAATCATTTTTGTTGCTCTCCATTGGACTCTTTCCAATATCTGCCAATTACGAATGTTTGCAGTTTATCAACTTTAAAAGAATTAGTGCAAGTGTGGCGTAAGGACTGTGTAGTTTACAATGCAAAGTGTCAATTTTAGACCACAGAGCAATACAAATGTCTTTGAGTATTTTTAATTGAAGTTTAAGTACAAAAAAGAAAATGTGCTACAACACGTAACAAATAACACAATAACTTTCCCAGGTCTGAGGGACTCTAGCGAGCATGTTGTGTGAATTATATAAACTCAAGGCAAGCTTACATCAAGCGGCATGGAAACGTGATGAGCTATGCAGATGGAGAACACTACTGCGAAAACTTGTTCTTGGAGCAGTTCTAATAATGAGCCACTCTTGCAAGAGCAACACAGTGTTGTACATGACTCAGGTTCCTTCTGCCTGCTTCTTTCTAGCTGCTTGGTGTACCTGTGCATATGAGTGGGAGCATGAGCAATGATATGCAAGGTTGTGTTACACTGTCAGTAGGGTCCAGCACTCACAATGGCTATTTAGTGAACTAACTTGATCTGTTAAAGGTCTCTACAAAGATTAGGCTGGAGTAGCTATATTGTAGCCAACACTTGAGCTGCACAGACACAGGCTTTGGCTTGCAATTTTCCTATTGTTACTGCTGCCTCTCTTCTATACATGCTGCTGCGTATAACAATTGTCTGCTCACTTGCCTGCCCCGTTGTTACTCTCCTGCTACTTTCCAGTCTTCTTTTCTTGGGGACAGAACACTCTTTTTCCATCTTTAAACTGCACTTACAGGATGTTTGTATCTTTGCTTCTGTTTAAGAACATCTTCTGATCAGCCAATTTGCAAAGTACAACATAAGTAGGGTTGGATATCTGAACATTTTCAGTATGGGGCCCATGTTAGGAATCCTGGATTGTCATATTCAGTCACCCTTGGACTCAGCTATTTTCCCATGTTATTGGTTGTATTACTGTAATCCCTGGGAGCCCTAGTCCCAGACCAGGATGCCCTTATGCTAGATGCTCTACAAGTACAAACAAAAGGCAGACTCTCCTCAAGGAGCTTTTTCAATAGGCCTATCTTTGGCAGCTTTTCTTAGGTTTTGGGGGCCTTGTTTGTTTTACTCACAGGAAATGCATAGCAGTTACTTCTGGGAAGCATTTATGCAGTATTGTATTGTCTGTCACTCATTTTTCCTGACGCATTAAGATATCAGAAAAAAATTTCCTCTCTCTTCTTTCTTCCCCATTTCCCATCCTCACTTTTTATTTTCTTCTCAGGTTATTTAGGCAGAGGATTTACTGGAAGCTAATAGTAATGGCAACACAAAGTCAGTTTGCTCTGAGACTGACCATAACTGCATGTTTTTCACAGTGATCTGCAAAGAAAGATCTGGTTAAAAGAACTTGCTAACTTGAAAATTAGTGAAATAAATGTTTTGGACCCAGTCTGGTTTCATATAGGCTTTTGTTCACATCACAGAACAGGCAGTCTGGAAAAAGTGATTGAATATACTTAGGAAACACCTGGTTGAAGGTTGGCATTAAGGTGAATTACAAAGGTGTACAAAGGTCTTAACTATGTATCAGGGGTGGAATTCCTATTCCCTTCTGGGAGACCAGCACAGAGCACTGCACGGGGTGAGTGGACTCTGTGTGGTTCCAAATAATGTGGCACGGAAGAAAGCATTGATAGGAGATCAGAAGAAAAATGTTAGGACTAGGTGGATCTGCAAAGTGGAAAGGCAGAAGGCATGATTCCTGAAATAGTTTCACAAGGTGTTTCCTTCTCAGCCTTCCACCAAAGAGTAGGTTTCTCTTGGAAAGTGGAAGATTTGAGACATAATGTTAAGTCCAGTGACTGACACCCCCATGCAGTCCCACTAACCTGAGTGAGATAAAACTGCCTGCAAGCTGGAGTGGCCCATGGCTCTCAGTTGATTAGAAGCACACAAAAAAACTGTCCCTATGAATGGATTTGTCAAAATGCATTCATTATCATATTTTCTTACCACAGGCTTTATTTTATTTTATTATTTTACGGGCTATAAATTTACCTCAACACAGCTTTATTTTTTATGGTCTTTAAAAGACTATGACTTCATCTATTTATAGAGACAGCAATGAAAACAGTATTGCTTGATTGCTGTCTCCTAATTTTATGAGCTGGCATTTTCAAGAAAGATATTTCACCAGTGCAAAGTATTTTACTATGTTAATTAAATCTCTTGCTGGAAATGCCAAATTCTTGGTTACTGCTTTTGATAGCAACAAATAGATAATAGTGGGGGTTTTCCTGGCATATTAGGAAACAAGCAAGCACAGTATTTAAGTGCTTTAGATAGGGTGAAAATCGCATGTCTTGTTGTAAATGTATATCATATCCAGATGGGAACCTCTCTATATATCATAATATGTCTGGGCACAATTCTGGTTGTGACCTATAAAGCAGAGAGGAGAGGTTCTATGCTAGCTCAGTTGTGAATAAAACACCTTGTTTGGCTGGGATTTGCAAAGGGTCCTGAAGTGATTAGGCATGCATGTCCCGAGGAATTTCAAAGGGAGCTGAGTGCCAAACTCCGTCAGGCTCCTTTGAAAAATCCTAGTTCTAATACAAATAAAAGGACCCTTGAGGCATCATGCAAATTTATTTAGCAGCACATAAATAGTTAAAATAACTATGCAAAGCTTCCTTTCCCACAGGACAATTTTAAAGCTAAAACTGAGCTACAGCTAATTGGAACAATCCAAGGGCACTTCGATCCATTGGTACATGAACCAATATACCATATGGACCTAATTTTGTAAAGAGACTCTGTTCCTTCCCTCTTTTGTACCTGCAAATTCAGAAGTGCTATTAATGCTATCTGCAATCAAGTAGAAGGTATTTAGGCAAAATCAACTATACCTTAATTTACTTGTACTCACAAAATTGCAGGCACAAACAAAGTTTCTAACAATCAGACCTCTTAGGAGCAGTGATAGATTTGTGAACATTTGGTCAGTCCAGCCACTTAGCTAGCTGAACATTCCTTAAGTTCATAGCAAAATAGAGGACATTGGGATGAGACAATATAATAGAATATAATACATCTGGAGTTTGAGGGGGTTGCTTATGAAAAACAACAATCACTTAGTCAAGTTGATCTTCAATGCAGCATTTCACCCAAAGCTGTGAATGGCTGAAAACGATCTGAAATGTGACCTTCGGATGTTCTGATGTGCATCAGCCCCTGAACAAAACAAAGGGTGACACACAATGGGATGAAAACAAGAAGCCTAGGCTTTTCAGCATCCCCAGGGGTCAGGTACCAGTCACTGATCTGGACTGTCTGACCACTTATCTCAATTTCACATTAGACACTCTATAACCCAGACCTACAGCCTCTTTTCATTGTCCTGGGGTTTTTCTAGGTCCCCTTATGTGGCACTGAGATACCAGCATACACAGCAAATCCCTTCCCCTTCTTTTCCTGTCCTTGGGGCATAAATCAAAGATGTACATAAGGAGCATATATGAAATAGACTTCTGATTTATGCTTTACTTATTAATGGAACATATGGTACTCCTGAACCAACTTGGTTTGGTTATAATTTTCCTGTCACCTGGGCACAGATAACAAAGAAATCATTGCTTTCTCCCATAGTAGTCTGAGGAATTTTCAGTCCCACTGGTTTCTTACTTGCTACAGAACAAACTAAAATTAATCCATGGGAAATCCTTCTGCAGAAGAGATGTACTTTACTCAGAGTGGAGATACCATCACCCATACCCATCACCCTAAACAAACCTCAAACACAATTGGAAGGCAACTTAACTTGAGAAAAGTTGAGCTACTATAAAAGAACGGTATGAAAAAGGCTACCTGCAATCAAATACCACATATGGCATACAGAGCAAAGAACAGAATAACCAGATGACTGTCCCAGCAGTTACTGAGACCTCCACAGATTAGGAAAGCTCCCTCATACCTCTGCCTTGGTGCTTTTGTAATGTCACGTACTAAAACTGGACCAGCTTCCAACACCTCCACAAGGAGCTGTGGCTTGACATAACACTCTCCTGGTACAAGGCTCCTTGGTAGCTATCCTTCTGAAACCTGATGTTAAATGACATTATGGACAGAAGTGCTGCAGCACAGAGCTGTGATAGGAAAAATGGCATGGTACCAAGAGTCCACGATGGGCCAGAAGTTCTGTCTGCAACAGCATTTCTGCACTGACATGGACAAGGCACATCTATAGAGGACCTCATTGGATATAATTCCAATGTTAGTTTGTCTTTGTGCAGCAACAATATATTACGGAAGAAAGTAACATGTCTTACATCAATCTAACTGCAGTTTGCGTGGTGAATAAAAGTAACTGAGCTCTTCTAAAACAAAATCAAGTGTCATTTGACATATTGTTTAGTATTTTGCCACCGGTAAAAGCTGAACATTTTTGCCAGTTAATGGTTACTTAAATAAAGGAAACGACACCCAAGTAAAGAATGCACTATGGAAGCAGCTTATACTTATTAATATCAGGCTTAGTCCTGAAGTGTGGAAACACATAACCCATAGTTTCAACTTTTTGCCTTGTAGATTCTTTGGGTTCTGTGGAACTGGGCTGAAGCTAAGAACTGCGACTTGTAAGCTACATGTGATGCAGTGGTTAATTCCATATAATAAGATGGGATGTATTTTTTTGAAGTCATGCCCAAGTGTTCCTGGCTTAAGCAGGTAGGGGAAAGGAAGGTTTACGTCCATTTTCCTTCCTTGAGCTAAGAATGTGCTGAATGGTAACATATGAGCTAACTACGCCTTTCACTGCATTGTAATGTAAAGGTAAAGTTCATCACTTTAATTTCTGAAGGAAAAATTATCTACACCCAGTTCGAAGAATGTCTGCTGCTTGTTTGCCTAAGTATGCCTTCCAGGGTTTTACCAGGCTGTTCATATTCACAAGCAGTTTGCCAGTTCTTGAGTCCTCTTGGCCTGCTATAAGGTAGTCTGTACCTGGTAAAAAAGAAATAATAATTGCATAAATAAATAAAATACGGGACTAAACACTAAGTGCCTCCATCTCCACCGAACCAAAGTCTAATTCTTTTGCCAACTTTAGCAATGTTTAAATGATGTGTTTGTGTGCACACATTTGCATGTGTATGTACACTTGTATGTACACTTTCTGGACACTCATGCCCATGCATATAGGTTGCGCTTTGTAAGATATGCATGCGCCTTCACTCACAAATCCCATATATCCCAAATTCTAAGACTTGCATGCACAAGTAGTTGGGTTGGCTTTTCATTTCCCTGACATTTTAGATAATGTAATTACATGCACTTCATAGATTTCATAGACATTAGGGTTGGAAGGGACCTCGGGAGATCATCAAGCCCAGTCCCCTGCCCCAAGGGCAGGAAGTCAGCTGGGGTCAAAGGATCCCAGCAAGATAAGTGTCCAAATGCTTCTTAAAGGAGTCCAGAGTAGGTGCTTGCACCACCTCTGGAGGGAGCCTGTTCCAGGCCTTGAGGTTTTGGACAGTAAAGAAGTTTTTCCTTATGTCCAGCCTGAAATGGTCTTGGAGGAGTTCATGACCGTTGGTCCTTGTCATCCCTTGGGGTCTTCTGGTGAACAGGCATTCCCCCAGATCCTGATGCACACCCCAATGTATTTATAGGCTTCCACCAGGTCACCCCTGAGCCTGCACTTTTCCAGGCTTCAGCAGAGTTGCTTGTGGCTGTTTCTGGGGACACCAGAATCAGGTCATAAGATATGCAGGACCTGGTTTTATATGTGAAAATTTTCAACCCACTCTGTTACATTTTCATTTGCACATGCAGGTGTTAGTGTGTTGAAAATGATTGTACCAAAATCCATGCATAAATGTTTGTGCACAAAAAAAGTGTATACCTGCTAGTAAAGGTGAGACAGAAACTTCACTGAAAATGAGGTTATTCTGTTGTAACAATGTGGTATTTTTGTAGTATAAGTCTGGAGTGTAACATCTCTCCATTGTTCTAAGTCTCATGACAGACATTTATTGGGGCAAGTTATGAACAGGGCTCTGGGTCCTTACCTTCTCTTTGATTTAGCTGGCTTCATAAGTAACACAGAAAACAGATGGAAGATGCATATTCTATTGCCATTGAAACACAATGAAGAAACACAGTTTCCCACATGAAAAAGGTTGACTAGACTTGTGACTGACAATTTACACTGACTTACTTTCCATAGCAAGTGGGGAGGGGAAGGGTTTGCCCATGTTTACAGGTCTGTGTTTGATCTTGCATATGCCTGCTGTCAGGATCTTAGTGTTGGTGTATCCCATGTCTTGTACATGCATTTGCATTATTTGTGTGTACTTGTTTGTTTGACTTTTCATTCAAATGAAGCTTGCACATCCATCCTGATGGGAGACAGGCAGCCTTTTTATATGCACCCTGCTAACTTCCCCAGTTTAATTCTTTGGGTTCAACATGTGGAACGAAACTTTTGGATCGGAGACAAGGGAGGGAAAATGTTAGGGATCTTGCCCTCCCTCCCCTCTCATAGCGGAAACCTGCACGAAAAGAAAGACCACTTTGTCAGCCAGTGTTTTCTGGTGAGGAACAAAATAAACACAGTTTATTAAAGGGCCTGAACGGAGTCAGCTGCTGATTGGGTGGTGAGCAGTGTAAAGGGCCAGATTAATCTGTGAGAGCCACACAGCTCAGCTAAATGGCTGCTGAACACAACTGCCAACCATGTATTCTTCTGCTACAAACAATGCACGTCCCCCTCTCACAATAAGGATCTTTTACAGCAGCTCGGGCAACTCCAGGAAACGTAACCACCTCATCCCTGCAGGATGCGACACCCTAGGGTGTGATGACTTGGTCAGCACTAGGCACATACTGCTAATGAGTTATTATGCAGGCAGACAGGCTATAAAGGACATTGAAAACACAGGGCCGTGACCCCTCACCCCCCTACATCCACCCCAAGGAGACTGAAGCATTACACATTCTCTAGGCCAGCGGTCTCCAAACTTTTTTGATCGTGCACCCCTATCAGTAAAAAAATTTTGAGCATATACTCCCAGTATATATATATTTATTTATTTATAAATGATATACATGTACTACTCGCATACCGTTAGTGACACGTGACCATCTGACATACGGACCAAGTGGGGGCACCAGTGTCAATCCATATATTAAATATTAGTAAAGCTTAATTGCTTTCTTATTTTTTTAGATACAAAATAAATATAAATAGAAGTTCTAATATTTTCTTCCCGCACCCCAATGGATTGTCTTGTGCACCCCACTTTGGAGACCACTGCTCTAGGCGGCCTATTCAGCCACCCCCCTGCTGCACTACCAGTTCCTGGGGCTGAATCCTTGCTGCGGGAGAGGGACTCTAGCTAGTAGCAGCAGTCCTTGCCTTCCTCCTCTTTGCTCCCACATCTGGCTGTGTGCCATCTGCAATGCAAATCCACCAGCACCACAGCAAGAATTGCTGTCTACAGTCAGAGATGGAAGAAAGGAAAGCATTTACCCTAAATAATTCTCAAGCTTTAAAATTCATAGGTTTCTTAGGGGTTTTTTTTCTTTTTTTTTAATGCCAGTTCATGTGCAAAGCTGAGGGCAGTTCAATAGTGTATCCTGGCGGGCGTCACTAATGTGGAAAGCAGGAAGGTAGCCACACAGAAAATCCATTTGCAGCTCCATAAGTAAAGTTTTACGATTCAACTCTAAAGGCCGTGGGATTAAAGATGGACTTCCTGTCATCAGCCAGGGAAGAACATACAATACAATGCTACTGAGACAGTTGGGCAGGAAGCCAGATCACCCTGCACGGCAGAAAGCCCTGCTGATCACAGTGGCAGTTTGGGCTGGCATTGGTGGCTGCTGCATATCCCTTTGCTACCTCCTGCTCTCCCTTCCCTCTCCTTGCAGAACGCAAAGTGCTGGGAAGCAGTAGCTAACCTGCATGGAGAAGGAGGAGGAAGGGGACATAAAAGCTGTGACTAAAGGCATGATCATGAGAGAGCATATACAGTGAGACCCTCGGTGGGTTCATCTCAGCTGAGGTACTGAAATCGATAGCACTCCAGTGATTTGCACCAGTTTAGGATTTGATGTGGGTCTCATTTAAAAGCCCATTGCAGGATGAAGAACTGGCTTGGGTGCAGATGTGCCACTGCCCACCTCTGGCTGCCATCAGAACTGCCCAGCTCTGTTTGAAAAGTCCTATGCTCCTATCTGCTAAAGGGCAACCGGGGAGGAACTTGTATTCCAAGTCCTGCTTCAGATGTTAGACAGAGCCAGACACAATCTAACTCTGTATTATACAAATACTTGACCTCACTCCAATCTACAGCTACCTTGCTGAGGAAGGAGCATGAAAGTTGTTTGCCTACTAAGTTCAAGACAGGAAGAGAAGGAGAATGCCGTATCCATTTGGACTACCTTCGGTAGAATAACTTGGCCCTAGCCAGAGTTACGCTGCTGAGATACAGCTTTCAGGAACTGAGTCCTACATCCCCACAAACTCAAACTCAGTTCCTCCCTCGGGGGTGCAGAAGATGCAACATATTCCTCATTTTTGAATGTTTGCAGTTTGTTTTGGACTGACAGGAAGAATTCACACTTGATTTTCTGTGATTTAGCCTATCCCAGAACAACTCTGTCTTTTGTGTGTGGCTGATTTGAGATGAGAACTTGCCTTAGAGGTTAGGTTAAGCCTTAGATTTCAAGCAAAGCACAAGGAGTTCCTTTCACTCTGTGCGGATGTATATATAATCTATTCAGAGGAAAAACAATGGCATAACTTATCTAACAAGTGTTGCTTTTAGGATGTGGGTAAGTCTCCGTTCTGCAGGGTGCATGGCACTAAATCTGAAATGTGATCCTTGGAGATACGGGTTGGATCATCCTAATGAAACTTGATCCCCAGGTACAAGGAAGCTGCAGATGCTAATCCCTCTCAGGATCAGGCCTTCACTGCCCACTGGGATGAAAGAAAGAGCAGAGTTCACAAGACCCTTCCAGGCTTGAAAGAGTTGAGTTGAGAGCATGTTTGCATTGGATTTATTGCGCATCTCTCCATATTACCCACATAGAATTTTCAGGCTGCTAAATATGTGATCAAAAGAAGGCTATAGTGAAGACTATGGTGAAAAACCCCTCCGCCCAGCTACTCATATATTATTACATAGCACCAATATGTTCCCGGGTACTTTCAAAGTGTATGGCAAACACTGAGGACTGGATTGTAATCTTCCAGTCCAAGCCAGGTAAGGTGTAGCATTTGACTGTCGGCCTTAGGAATCAGATAGGAACAAAGCTGTAACTCCAAGACATGACTTGGTTCCTCTTTCCCTGTTTGTGCTGCAGGGAAGTACTGTAATATATATACCAGCCTTTTTGTTTGTACAGATCATTACACTCCCTTCCTAGCAGGTTAAATTAAGGGCTATGGGAGCCAAGTTTCTGCCTACCTGGAAGAGAGAGGAGTTGCTTGGCAGTAGCTGCTCTCCTCGCAGTGCAGGAGTAATTCACACAAAGGGAGCCTGGGTGCATAAAGAGCCCCCCTAACTCTCCTTTGCAATACATAGAAGGCTCACAGTTATGCCCCAATTAATTAATCATTAAAGTCCCCTAACAAATAAACATTATCTCCCATTTACAGATGGAAAAGCTGTGCCAGGGAGGAGAGGCAATTTTCTCACCGCTGCAGAGGGTCTCGGGATGAGAGAAGATGAGGACTCAAGGTGTTCTTGCCTCCCTCACTTCCCCTGTTTGTCTCTTATCAGACCTGTATATCTCATAAGCATAAATCTAGTTTAGAACTGTAATGAGTCGACGTGTTGTATGGAATTGATTTAATTTATAGAGCTACATTATAGCTAACACTTGAGGTTGCATTTCCATTTTTTTATATGGGGTATTTACAAAACAAATACACCATATCAATATGACCCTAGAGTCTGTGGCTGGCTGGTGGGAATTCTGTGTTGGTTACAGATAAATATTTGAAAAAGAGGGTTGTACTGAATTAAATCTAAAAATGAAGAATCTTATCTGTAAAGAAGTCCCCATCTTATTCTTTTGATATTAAATTAAATTTTTTAAATACATTATCAGCCTTCCACATGCTGCTGGTTGTCAGCTTTAGGCTTCAAAGGAACAATTAAGATGCATGGAGCAATTCAGACCTCCCAGCTATTTTGTTCAAGCTATTTACAAATTCAGAAAGTCACAGTTTGCATATGGTTTACATTCTTATGGCTCTGTCAGTGCAGTCATGAGGGCTAGAAATAGTTTTTAAAACAGAATGAAAACTTAGATTCTGGAGCATAATTCTGTAAAATAGCCATGGAATCACAGAAGTCCTCTGTACATGCCCAGTATGCATATAAGCAGACAGCGCATATATGTGTTCACAGATACAACGACATAATTTACAGATCCATGGGCAAAAGGTGGGGGAAATATTAGACTGAGGTTACCAGTCTGAGAATAAATTTAAACCTGTCTCTACACCATCCATAAACAGCCTTGAAGCCAATTTGTTTTTGAACTCTGTTGTGATTCCTTCAGGCCCATTTAAGCAAAAATAAAATACTTGTTATAATCATGTTAAAGACCTAGGTATTTGTTCATGTATCCAAAAAATACAAGTCCTATTAAAATAAACTGGGGCAAAACATGTTTCACAAAAATATTTAAATATGATATACTGGCCATATGAAATGAAGTATAATGTGTAGAGCTGGTTAAAATAAATCTTTTTGACATTTGTGAGTCCAAACATTTTGTTTTCCCACACGACTTTTCAAAAGAGATACTATTTAGAAACTTTTTTTTTTTTCATTTAGCCCTGCAGCGTTTTGCTTTGGTTCTATAAACCATTAGAAACAGAGGAGGAAAGGGTAAAAAAGGCATGAGAAATTTAGTTGTTTTTCATCCTTTTCCTATATTTTACTATTCATTACAATTAGAAGGAGTGAAAAAAGTGTAGGAAAACAGGTAGAAACCTGTTATTCCAAATAATAACAAATCAGTTCATATCTTCTTAATGTTTCTTAATGTTTTTGAATTGCAAAAACAGTATGAAAGCATGGTACAGTGGGAGGAGAATATTGTTTTAAAATGAAATATCTAGGAGTTACCCCCCTCCCCCAAATCTGAGAAGAATATTTTCCTTTTTTGGAAAATAATGCAATTGAAAATGAAAATTCTCCTGGAAAAAAATCCTTTTTGACAATACCTGATTATCTGTCTTGAAGAAAAATTTACTTGAATTGTAGTCACTCTTGTGCTACCCAGCTGTGGAAGACAGATTTTGCTGGTCTTCATACAGACGGTTGGACAACAGAAAGAAAATGGTTCTCTGTGCTCAGTCCTCTTTATGGCATTCACCACAAAGTAGAATATGGATCAACCCTCAACCTCTGAATCAAGGCTTTCTTAGTTATGTATGATCTCTCTGTACTACTTAAGTAACAGAACCAGGTTTATCCTGCTATTCTATCCATTATAATAGAATGGACCTGCTTTCCGACAATGGATTATTCTTACAAGTTTCATATCCGCTCAATTTCACTGTTGTCAATAGACTTATTTCTGACTGATATCATCCCAAGCAACATAAAGATGCTGTTTCATCATTAATACCATAGCAGCCTGAGCAGCTGGTTTCCTATAGAACGGGTGCCCTAAGCATGGAATACTTACCAGGATTGAGAATGGGACATGTGCATCCCCTATGGGTCCAGGACTCCGGGTAGATACTCCTGTTATTCCGAGCAATTTTCACTTTGCCTGATTTCAAAATCTTCTTCACCTTCACAACAACTTCTGCATGGGTTCCTTTGTCATGAGCTGATAGAATTCGTGCTTTTATCACTGCCAGAAAACAAACATGCATCAACACAAGTCAAAAATGATTTCCACATATACTGTAATATCTTTTTTACACTGCTGAAGGGATAGAGTATCAGGGCCTTTGGACAAGACCTGAAGGATGATGCCAGGATTTTGGCATTTGGACAGGGACAAAAGGGCATGCACATGCTTGTGCACTTCAGTCATTGTTCCCATTTAAACAAATCTGGGGAAGGAAAATTGGATTTCTTCAATTTAAGTAAATAACTAATCTCTTCTCTGTGTTATTTATCAGCTAGTTTCTCATGGTTGCCACCAACAGCTTGGAGACAACTGGGAGTATATAGGACTTCCATAAAAAAGAAAACCAAAAGATAACACGACAGCCAACAGTCTGAACTTAAGCACATTGATTCAGGGCCATGGCAGATGTGTTTGAAAATTAGAAGGCTTGTAGTGGATTTGTACAGCAACCGTCCTCACCCCTTAAAATTTGTCTTCTTCTGTAGAAACAAGGCTTCTTTACAAGTACTCAGTGTCACGTGGTGGAATTCACCCCAAGGCAGGAGATCTCCTACAGGACTGCAAGAGTGTCCCATGGCTAGAATCATCCTGTGATGATAACGAGAAACTGGAAGAAGCTACTTAGCCTTTTGGCCTGACATATGGTTGCTCTGACAGAGCTGGCATTCCTCTTGGTTTTGCAGGACCAAAGTCTGGTCTCATAAACAAGCTGTATTGTGCTATGATATGGTTGTGCCAAGTCAAACCCCATGGCAGTTTTTGGTGGCCATGTCCCTTCCATCTTGGGATGACAGGATACAGGTGCTCATGGGGATAAATATGTTCTTCCCTTGTTGTTAAGCGGGAGGTTTGCTAAATGAAAGAGTTTCCAGAAGAAAAAAGGACTCCTAGTATGGAAAAAAGCTAAGAACTGTTGCAGGACGCACCCATACACAGAGAGGTGGAAGTACACGCATTGAACTCAAGAAGCCCAGGCTGCTTGTGCTCAGCACTGAAGAAGCCATTATAGGATGTTGTTCTCTGAGCGACCCTGGACTAAGAGGAGTCTCTGGACAAAAAGAGGAAGAAGAAAAATCTATCTCTGATTTCATGACTCAGCCAGCCCATGCTTCACAGTGTCCATCTAGCAGCTTTGTAGACAACACTATGGATTTATCATACCTTGAAGGAACATCAGCCACTTACCATACGCATATTTCATTTGGCAGAAATCGGTAACGCTTCCAAGCACTTTTTCTTTGCACACGCACTTTTCTAGTGGGAGACCGCAAAGCACAAGGGGTTGGAATAGGGCCAAAACAGGAAAGAGGAAAGAAAATCAGGTGATGTTCACATATACTGTTATATGTTCGTGTTACTCCAGTAACACAGATAAGCAGATAGTAAAAGTAGAATGAGCTCAGTTATTTGCCAAACTTGCTAGCAAAAGGGATCTGAAATCTGAGTAAGAAGAGCTCCAAAATGGGAGTTCCTCACACATTAATAAACTGATGCCAGCACAGAAATAGGTCAGAATCAGATCTGGATATAAATGTCTGACTCATGCTCTTGTTAGACCTCATGAGCTCAGGAGTATTGACGCTTTTCAGTTCTCAGATAAGAACCCTCTCAAGGTGCTTCCTGGAAAAAGTGTTGGTGATTCAGTAGTTTCCACTCATTCTTCCAAGTTGTTATACAACCAAGGATGCCAATAGGTTCCATCTTTCACATGGTATCTAAAACTGAGGCCTTGACCACTTCTAAACACCAACAGCTCTATCATTCTGCTGGCCCAATATACTTGTTACTTTGTCTGCATGCAGTATGCTTTACTTCTTCTCCTGAGCTATTGTGTAATGTGACCATGTGCTGTTTTCAAAACACCTTCCTGGTAATACAGGAGAAGTTTTGGTAAGACATGAATGGGAACAGTTATGTGACAGTGTAAAGAATCAGTCTGGACAATCTATGTGATTTTTTTACTTGCCAGCTTTCTGTAGGGGGGAGCGGTAGCACTGTACAGAAACAGGACTCTGCAGAGCATAAGATGAAACAGTAGTCTTGCCCTTCTCTATCTCCATCCTATCCTGGGCTGATATCCTATGTATTCTTCTGTGTTAAGACTGGAAGCTCTCTGGGACAGAGAATGGACTGTCCATTTTTTACTCACTTTACTAAGGCTATTGAGGAGATGGATAAATTTATATTTATGGACAGTCCTTTGTTTATGTTGAGTGGTGCGGTGGTCAAATGGAGCAAATATCTTGCTATGACTAGAGGCATGAGTTGCCAGAGCTGCAAATGGGCACCTGGTCAAAGGGCATAAGCGGCTGGGCATAGTGCTAGTACTGGCACCACTCCCTTGTGTACTAGTGGCTGAGAAAGTGATGATGTGCCTTAATCATGCTAGCACGGTGGGCTGTTAAGCTTGGATGGACCTTCTCATCTTTATTCATGTTATGATCTTTAGTTTATGAGATGGACCTTCAGTGGAGAGATGTAATAGCATTCTAGAAATTTGAATAAATAAATAGTGTAGCAATTAAATTAGCATATCCTAGCAAAAGCCAGGCGTATTCATGGCACTCTACAGGTATTAAATGTCAGGGAACCTAATCAGGCAGCCAGGCCTGAGTTAATTGCCTAGGCAACCACATTTGCCTTGAGTGTCTGTTTGACAAGCGGGGGCCTAGCTAATTAGCTGGCTAGCTTCCTGAGTGACTGCTGGAAGTGCTGCCTCTCCATTTAACCCCAGCTTAGCCAACAGTTTTGACCCTGGTCTGCTTTGGCAAGCCTCCTGGTTCCTGACCCTGGTTTGGCTCTGTTCTCAGACTTTGACCTGTGGATTATCCCTTGGAAGTGGTAACTTGACATCTGATTCCTGGACTCTGACCCTGGCCTGTGTTTTGGACTCTGCTCCTGGATTTCTCTTTAGACCTGATAATTTGGCTTCCAAACTCTAACCCAAGCCCTGACCCCTGCCTTTCCTCCATGGCTTAACCACTTGGCCAGACTGCCTATGACCTAACATTAATTAAGCAAGCAATAATTAGCACTGAGTGCAAGGTTTTGTAGAACTCTAAATGGTACCTGGATGTCTCAATGCAGAAAATCCCTGCTCATGATCATTCCATTTCCATTCATCTTCACTTTCATTGGCGGGTGTGTGAATGAGGTCTGGGATTCGTCCACCAAGGGGGACATTGAAAAATGGCTTATTGTCATAACTAGGGGTAGAAACAGAAGAACCATCTCCCGTTAGGATATGCAATGTTTATCAAAGAGGTTAGCTTCTTTAATAGTTTAGTATCTATAATTTCTTTAAAATGACTGAACTAAATACTTGCAATTTACTCAGCACTTACTAAAATCATGATGACTGCAGGTACCCACAAGATCAGACCCACAAAAATTAGTGGGAGCTTAGCTACTCAGTACCTCCCTGGATTTGTACTGGTGGTTTTTCTGGAGATTCAGTTCTTCTAATTTTCCATAGGAAACATACAGCTACCACATCTGTTGAAGTTTCCCCACATCACCCCTGCTCTAAAGGGACCATCATGTTGGGCAAAGGAATAGTTCAGCCTCAGTGGCCTTTTCAGGCCTTCCCTGCTTTCTTGAAACAGCCACCGCAGGAGCCATTTAGTCCCTGGGGGTGCTTTTTGTGACATGGGTTCATGCCACCCAGGAACTAAAATAAGACTCTGCCCCTTGCTTCACTAAAGACACAGACCAACACAAGTTCTTCAGGTGCTTCTATTTATTTTGAAAGCAAGTGAAGCAGTCAAAGAAGCTGAACAGAATCCTGGAGGGCTTTGCCCTTCAGAACGGCTTTTAGATGGTACTTTGAATGTCCAACCATGCTAGTGGCCAGGAAGCCACTCTGTGACTCTCTGTATGACTGACCACGAGGACTATGGATGCAGAAACTTGTTTTGTTCCCCCAGTGCTTTATCCACACCTTCAACTGTGTGCAGGCCTCCAAAGGTTAATATTAGCTTAATCTTAAAGACTCCCAAGCAACTCAAAACATTAGCTTGCCATAAAAAGGAGCTCCTTTACCCATTGAAACAGTTTCCAGTGTGCTGGTCACAGTCTCTGGCACAATCACAAGGACGACAGCCATTTTCTCCAAACCCCCAGTATCCCATGAGGCATCTGTCACAGTTCGGGCCTGCCACGCCTGGCTTGCAGTAACAGAATCCAGTCTTCGGGTGGCACCGCCAGCTTCTGCTGATGGTAGCATTGGCTGAGCCCGTAGGTTGACAGGAGCAAGCTAAAGAGATATGATAAGAAACAACTGAGATTATGTGCCAGAGGGTCAGCTGTTTAGGTGATATTTCTGCAAGGCTGATAAACCGCAGGACTCCACTCACTCCTGACACTCAGCAGTACAGATAAGCATTGCATTCTCAGGTGTGGTTCAACCTGGAAGTGGTATTTTGCAATCCTGGTGAGACATTTTTCCCTCATTCAGCAGAGCAGATTAAAACAGAATCCATCTGAGACCCACGTGTGCTCACCCCATCTACTATCAGCCAAATCCTCTACATTTGCATTAATGAGCTTTATCTAGTCATACTTAAATTTGATACCTGCATTTGCAGGTATCAAATTTAAGCTCAATTAGCCCCAAACCACCATTTTTAAAGTGAATTAAGGGTGCACACATGTAGATGTGCACCCTAATGCACCTTAAATTTAGGCTAATGTGCCTTAAAGCATCTTGTGTAGATGCACCCAGAGAGGAGTTGTTAGTATAATTCTTGATTGTTAATCTAACTTAATCCCAACTACATAGTTGGTCCAACAAAAGATATCACCCTAAGAAATCCTTGATTGTCAGTGTAATACTTGGGGAGAATTACCCAAAGCAATGAAATGAAAACAAGGAGGAGAAAAAAATCGGCTGAATATCAGGACAGAAATTCCAGCCATAAGCTCTATTATTCTGTAGAATAATTTCCCAGGAATATGGTGGAATCCCTATTGCCTAGTAGAATTAAAATTAAACAGGGCGAAACGTTAATAAAAGGAGAACAAGGAAAACAGTTCTTTAGCAAATGTTCATGGCAGATGGATAAGATGACTAGATGTGTTTTCCATCTCTCTAGCCCACGATTGTTTTAGTTTGAGTGGTAGAAGTCCATGTTCTCTTTCCAGTGTTATTTATGTGCAGTAGAGTTACTAAGCATGCTACATCTGTGAGTTCATTACAAGAAGGAAGAGAATGAGAAGAGATCTTCAAACCCACTAGAAATATTCTCAGCTACAACAGCTGTTCTCTTTGTACAGCTGGAGATGGGGTGGAAGACCCAAGTGCAGCTTCCAAAGTCTGCTCCCATTTCAACACCAGCTCCGGGGTACTTAGGAACAATTTGGGGACTGCTGAAAACTGGACCAGCTTGTTACGGCTCTCAGGAACCATTTCACCAGCAGACACAATCTGGAGCCCAGTAGAATACTAGCCATGCTACCAACATGCTCCCTATCCTAGGGGCATTATGGAGTTGGGAGAAGGCCATACAAAGCTGACTAGCCTGGCTGAATAAGAGGTTGGACATCTCCCCAGGAGGGGGATTCTAAGCTGGGACAACCTGGCATCTTGTCATCTTCTTTATGCTGCCAGAATGATCCTACAGGACTGGAGCACATGAGAAACTCTGGCCCATTGATTTGTGTTGCTAGAATAGGTTTGGAGATGTGGCAAACTAAGGTGAATCTCTGCCCAAAATTCAGGCTCGGCATCTGTATTTTTCCTCCTTTTCATCATTGAAAATTGTGGTACCTTCTGGCTTGTGCTGGTACCAGAACCCTAAGTGCCAACACATCATTATTTCCATCATCTGAAAGCAGAAAGGAACAAAAGTCCTATTGGCAAGACCTGCCGTAGCAGAAATTTCCAGTCAAATGTTGGACACCCAGGATGTCCAAACAGCTTGGATCAAGAGCCAGCCTTATGGATGCTTATCTCAACCAAATATGAGCTCCAATGCTTTTGAAGTTCTCTCCTCAATGCTTCTCATCAAACTACTTTTCTTCATGAGTTCACAGATAAGAGACCTAATGAACACACTGATTCCACACATTGCTTTCCAAGAGTGGGGGAGTCTGATGATGAGGAATGATAACTGCTGGGGTGATGGATTCACTTTTATGCACATCATCACATTTATCATTCAGAAAAGAAAATATCTTTTGGGAACATTAATAAGTGAAAAAGCAGCATTGATGTGGTTTGTGTAACGGGTATTTTTCTTGTGATCTGCCATTAGATTATTTTTTCACTCTGTATTCTTCGATGCAGTATTTTTAATAATATTATTATACCGTGCTGTAGATTCAGTTGTTTTCAAGAGAATGCTACCACAATAGCCTCAGGCCAGAGAGTAAGCGTGCCATAATAAGCAGCGTATTTGACACAATGAACCAATTAGCTGGTGGTACAGTAGCAACAGTCTCTCCTGCTGTTGCCCTGCAGGAGTCTTGAGTTTGGAAATCATCCCATGGTTTTTGCTCCCCAGGACATAGGGATCCTGTGTAACCTCACAGTGCACATATGGATCAGAAATTTCATAACCAGCTTCTGTTTTTTAGGGCTCAACTTGAGACATCCTGGCCCTGATTTTCAGGAGGGCTGAGTACTCACCATGCCAAAAACAGAGGCATCTGATAAAACCTGATGTATTTGAAAATGTTGTCGTGGGCTTTGGAATATGGGAAGTTAGCGTTTACTGTACTACAGATATGTCTGAGCCACAAACCTGGAATTATTTGAATCCAAGCTCTTTATTTCCCCTAAATACCTGTATAATTAGAATCTGGCTGCACAGTTCACACCTGACATTTGCCAAAATTCACTAGCATTTGGATCCAGGGTTCTAGCTTGGATATGTCTCTAGTTTGCAAATTGCTCCATCTCCTTTCCTCTTCCCAGGTTGTAACAGCTGGTGTCAGACATCCACTGATGCAAATTTGTGTGGCAGCAATGCAGCTGTACTAGCTAATACCAGTTGAGGCTAGGAGCCCTGAGTTATAAAGTGTGGGGTCCATCATTCCAGCCAAGGGGAAAGTGCTGCAATGGGTAACTGAAGGGAGGTAAAGAAAAGGTTTTCTTGTAAGATGAGGATTTGCATACAGAAAGTGGGCATTGCCCCCAATTAAAAGCCTTGGCATCCCTTGCTGGGCTGAAAAGCAAAGTCAAATAAATACATGACACTTTCAGATGAATTATACAAGAGGCTTGCGAATGCTGTCCTCAGCCTGAATTTACTTAATGTTTCAGCTTGGGTGTATGCACTGTCTAGCTTCCAGGCTGTTGTATCCAAACTTCTAATTGTGTACCTCCAGGTAATGCCCAAAACATGAATCTGAATGTCACACGCTAAAGGGCAGCTGTTGACGACCCAGGTTTTATCTAATCATAGATTTGCTGATAAATCTCATGAATAAAGGGACATAAGCAAGTTCCTAACCACTAACCTCCCAGCATTTGACAATACAATGTCTTTCCCTGCTGATTTTTGCTCTTTTCCTCTTGGCAAACACTAGTTTTCTCCCCATCCGCTTCCCATTCTGACAAAACACAAACCAACACGACAATGGCTTTATTTGTCAAAGGCATCATCAGTGATGTTAGGCACAGCGTGCAGACAGTTCTGGCTCGGAGATGGCCAGTCAGAGATGGTTCCCCCCACTGCAGCAGCAATACAGCACAATATGACATGACTGTGTATTAGAGGTACATGCTGATAGTCACCGAAGTAACACAAAGCATCCACATGGATTTTTCCTGACAGCTGCTGTCATAAGATTTTTGTTAGGATGCTACTGTTAAAGAGAGAACCAAGTAATGAAAGGGGTGGGGGGAGAGTAATAAAGTCCCTGCTGCTCAGCTTCCAAATAAATCTATCTGCTCTCAGCACAGCTGTTTCCAGGCTTAAATAGACACAAGTGGAAGGCACAATATTGGTTGCAACAGGATGGTCCCAAGCAATAGGAAAATAGCAGGTGCTCCACACATGTGCAATGGACTCAGAGACACCTAGCCTGTCACTGCTGCTTAAAACTACTGTGCAAGACTCAGTGAAGTGCAGAGTCAAATGGTTTAATGAAAAACTGCCATTGCTTAAAAACAAAACAAAGTCCTTGGAGTGTGATGCATATTCCCTGGTAAATCACAGTGGTTTTTGATGCAGGTCAGGTTTGGGGCTGAATGCCCTACACAAGTGCCTCTTGCATCAAGGACA